TTTATTTATTTTGTACATTGAACTTTTATTTTTCTTAATTGGCACTCAATAGTTGTACATAGTTATGAGTCATAGTATGATATTTCTATACATGTACAATCTGTGTTGATCAAATTTTGGTCCTTAGCATATCTGTCACCTCAAACATTTATCATTTCTTGCGTTGGGAACAAAATCTTGTGTTGGGATCTAGCCACCTTAAACACTATACCACCAGCGGACCCTTCTACTTTTAAAAAGTCAACTTTTTCTAGCCTCCATGCAGTATTTATCTTTTTGTGTCTGATTTAACACAATTCAGCAGCTTAACCTTCACATCACCTGCTGGTTCCATTTGCCCGTTTAGAAGAATTATTATTTTTGTTGTTGTTATTGTCAAGTTGTTCAAGTTCTTCAACTATTCTTGATATTAATACTTTGTTGACTGAATAGTTTGTAAATGTTTTCTCCCATTCTGTTGGTTATCGCTTTACTTTGTTGATTATTGCCTTTGTTGTGCAGAAGATTTTTAGTTTGCTAAAATCCCATTTGTCTATATTTGCTTTTGTTGCTTGTATATTTATTTATTTATATTTGCTATAGAGTGCATGTGCTCACCAGAGAAAGATAGAGAGGAAAAGTGAGAAATTACCTCCTGGGGAGAATGACCATGCTTGCCATCCCTTCTCCATTCTCCTCTCAGGATGTTGGGCATACACACACATGGCCAGCAGTTTTTCAAGCTTCCTGGTCCAAGACTCAAACTGTGCAGCTGGCCATGCGGGATCCAGTTGCCCTAACCACCATGCCACCTGCTGGCTTTGCTCATTCTTTTGAGATGTATCTCAAAAAAATCTTTACCTATACCAATGTCCTGAAGTGTTTCCCATATGTTTTCTTCTAGTAGTTCTGGGTCTTGCATTTAAATCTGTGACCCATTTCAAGTAGATTTTTTGTAGATGGTGAGAAAAGAGGTTCTATCTTCATTCTTCTACATCTGGACCCAGAAACTGTTGGTGCTTATATCCTTCTGCTTGCTCTGCTTCTGATTGCAGCATGTGGGAATTAGTTCTGTTGAAAATTGCTTCTACATCCTGAATATGCCATTTTTCTTCCACACGGTGTTATGCCATGTGAGAAAATTTTATGAACACAAACCAAAAACAGGGCCAGGTTATGATGCAGTGGTCATGCACTGGGAAAGGTCTTGGGTTTGTGTGCATGGTGCGTATGCCTGAATCTTGGTCAACTGAGACTTGGAGTGGATCCAGATCACGACATAAAGACCCTTTTGGGAGTGCCTTCCTCTGTATTGTTCTCTGTCTCTCTTTCATGGAAGAACTAAATAATTTTTTTAAAAAATGTTAGCCACCTTCATACACTGTGTGTTGTGTAATAGACTTAATGAAAGGCATTGTTGAACTAAAAGTTGAAGAATCTCTTAGTGATGTCAGTAACTCGAGATCTATATATCACATACTGACGCACCCTCTTCCTCCTTGTCCCCTCCTCTCCTCTTCACCCTCTCTATGTTTACCCTACAGCTCCACATTCTTCTGACTTCAGAGGTAGAGCCATTGAGAGCTCTCTAGCTTTGAGTACCAAATTTACTTCTACACTCATTTAGTATAATTGAACCAAGGGATTCAGCACCATAGGGCTTTCCAGATAAGAGACTTCCTCTTCTTAGGAGGAAGCTGTTATTTTAAATAGCAAGCTTTTCATTCCTTCGCGTGTAAAGTTCATAGCACAGTGATTAGCACTTAGAAAACAGGCAAGAAATGTTAGCTATTACTATTTCTAAGGTTTCAAATTCTAAATTAGATTTAATTACTGCCTAGAGACAGTATTTTACTCTCACCAGAAAGGCAAAAATGAACAAGTCTGGGCCTGGCCCCATGGTATATCAGTAAAGCCCTATGCACAGGGAGCCTGATCCCACATGGCTGACTGAAGTTCACACCTGGCCCCGGTGGCTTGCAAAACATGCCAGGTATGTGTGTGAGTACAGTCCGGAATCCTGACAGGATGAAGCAATGGAGCTGACTGAGGTTCACACCTGGCCCCGGTGGCTTGCAAACATGCCAGGTATGTGTGTGAGTACATGTCCGGAATCCTGACAGGATGAAGCAATGGAGGGAAAGTGACTCAGTGTGACCATGCTACACTGAGGGCTTCTCTCTCTCTCTCTCTCTCTCTCTCTCTCTCTCTTTGGTGAGCACACAAGCCCTCTGTCGATTAGGGAAAAAAAACAGTGAGTGTGACAATATCAAGTGTTGGCAAGAATGTGGAGAAACAGTGATTCCCATACATTGCTGATAGAGTGCTAATTAGTACAGTTGCGTTAGCATTACCTGGAGAAATAGAAGTGCCTGCCCTTCTAGAGAATTTTTTACTCATGTACACCTAAAACGTGATAAAGTTTCACACTGGTATGGATCCACAAAGCCCCTGTTAAGAATCACCTGAAATATCCAAAACAGCAAAATGGATAAATATAATTTATATTATTCCTACAATGGAATTTCATACGGCTACAGAAATGGGCACACGTGGGCCAGCCACTGGCCTACTGGTTAAGGCAGCTAGCTCCCACATGGTAAACTGTGTGGTTTGAGTCGTGGACCCAATGGCTTGAAGAATGCACCAGGCACATGCATGTGTGTACCCAAAATCCTGAGAGGAGAATGAAGAAGGGATTGCAGAGTGGCTGTCCCCTCCGGGGATTCTCTCTTTCTCTCTCTCTCTTTAGCGAGTACACATGCCCTATAGCAATATTTATAAAAGAAAAGAAATGGGCGTATTTTATAGCTGCACGCAGCAACATGGATAAATCCTGCAGGCAGAATATGAATAACAGGGCTAGCTGGTAGTATGGTGGTTAAGGCAACTGGATTCCACATGGCTGATTGTATGATGGTTCAAGTCCCAGACCCAGCAACTTGAGAAACATGCTAGGTTCCTGTATGTGCCCAAAATCCCAAAAGAGAGAGAAAGGATTGCAGCATGACCATTCCCCACTGGGGGAGAGGATGGCTTTCTCCTCTCCTTTTCTCTCTCCATCTGTCTCTGGCAAGTCCATGCACCTTCTAGCAAAAAACTTTTTTTTTAAAAGAATCTTACAAAAATGTCTAAATTTGCCTTAACTGCTGAATGGTTCTTGCCGCAAATATAAGATTCATAATGTTTTTTTGCAACCGAGAAGAAAACTCCAATAATAATATGTGAGCCCAAGATATATCCATGTCATCTTTGTACACATATTATTAATATGTAATTACATCTAATGATGTCTGTTATTATATTTACATAATAATTCTGCAGTGAATGTCTTTGTAGTGCAGTCTTTGCAGGCACCCAAGTTATTGTCTTTCTTTCTTTCTTTTGGTTTTGTCATAGGTTCACATGATCACCAGAGAAGAGAGAGACAGAGAAATATAGAGAAGGAAAGTGAGAAATCACTCACCAGAGGGGATAGTCACACTGCAATCTCTTCTTCTCTATCTTCTCTTGGGATTTTGGGCATTCATGCACAAGTGCCTGGTATGATTTTCAAGCCTCTGGGTCTGGGACTTAAACCACAGTCAGTCATGTGTAAGTCCAGCACCTTAGCCACCGTGCCACTTGCTGGCCCCCTAAATTAGTTTCTTAGGATTAATTTCTTTTTCTTTTTAAGAGAGATTTTTGCTATAGGGCACATATAGAGATGGAGAGACAGAAAGTGAGAAATCGCCCCTCTGGCGGGGATGGCCACGCCACAATCCCTTCTCCTCCTGGGATTTTGGGCATGCACGCATGCACACCCAGCTTTCATTTTTTTTTGTTTTTTTTTTGAGAGATTTTCACTGTAGGGCGCGTGTGCTCGCCAGACAGCCAGAGAGAGACATAGAAACAGAAAGCGAGAAATCACCCCCCAGGGGGGGTGGTCATGCCGCAATCCCTTCTCCTCCATTCTCCTCTCGGGATCTTGGGCACGCACGCACACGCGCCCGGCGTGAGTTTTAAGCCACCGGGTCCGGGACACGAACCGCGGTCGACTACGTGGGAGTCCAGCGACATAGCCATTATGCTAACTGCTGGTTCCCCACCCAGCTTGAGTTTTAAGTCGCTGAGTCCGGGACTTGTACTGTGGGCGACTACATGGGAGTCCAGCAATATAGTCATTACACTATCTGCTGGCCCCCTTAAGATAAATTTCTAGGAGCACTATCTCTGAGTCAGATCATATGTACATTTTCAAGACTTTAGGTGTGTTTTGCCAAACTGCTCTTGAGAAAGGTGGAGATTTTTATTCCCTGTGTTGAACCTGAGCACCCCACCATAGTCCTAGCCATTGCCAACATTATTTATTTAATCGATTTAATTTACCTATTTTATAAATGAAAAGTAATACTTTACCGCTTTAATTTAGCAGGTTATTTTAAATTGAACACTTTTTATATCTTTTTGTTCAATTTTTGATATTCATAAAAGGTTTATGAGATCGTTTCAAAGAACTATTTTATCCTCCCAACTCCAGCAAATCATATGAGAAAAATAATTAATATATACTATATGCTGACATGGGTTCTTGTGCTGTGTTGCAAAATAACTTATCTGTACTGCAGTCTCAAACATCTCACACTATCTGCTTATTAATGTCTTGGGTTAACACCTATGTCATTTTAGTCTGTTAAGATTAGGTTAATCTCAACAATAAAAACAATAATAATCACATACTAAAGTAATAATGCTTTATGCTTACATGGTTCACTTCATAGGCAATCAAAGACTTGTGATGCTGTTGTTTTAATGAATCACACCTCAGGAGGTGGTTCAGCTGGTATCCCTAAGACTGAAATGACACATCTCTGCCATCTCTGTCCCCTTATTCCATCCACAGAGATTCCGCCTGGCATGGCAGAAATAGTTCTGGGGGCACAGTCTTGGGTTCAAACCCCATCTTTTCTTTCAGCCAGCCTCATGACTTGTGGCAACGTGCTTAAGCCCTTTGAGTTTCTGTTTTCTCCTTTATAACACAGGGGGAAAAAATCAACCCAAACTCACAAAGTTGGTGCGAGGTTTTCATGGGATGATGTTGAGTCTTCCTGGAGCCTGCCTCTTCATCAGCTAAAAAGTGAGTCTGAACCTCGACTCAGCAGGGATTGGTAGAAATGGAGTGCAATCCTTGGTGTTCTTTTTAGTGTCACTGGACGAAGTGAAAACAATTACAAACAAGAGGGAAAATAAACCTGAGGGACCAGACTGGGAAATCTACTTTTGAGTGGCACAGGTTGGGAGCACTCTAAAGTTACTTCTGTTTTTTCTGCACATGCTCTCTGTGGGAGTCCAACCAAGCCCATGGAGGCCACGTCGGATGTGAGCTTGAATGACAACCAGCCTGGGCAGCTCGAGGGTGGAGATGGTGTCCTGTGAAACTATAGCCATGTCTCATTCCCAGTCAGCCTAGGTAGAAGTCTGAGCTGAGACACCCACGTGCTTGTCTTCGGGGGAAGTCAAAACCCTTGACCAAGGTTCTTGTGGATCTACCAGAGTCTTGGCAACTCCCCGAGAGTCAAGGTCTCACTGAAATATGAAGAGTTAACTCCTTGTAAATACTTGGGCGGCAGATGGAAGCAGACTTCTACCCCCTGCCCTCTGTCTCGGAGAGCTCTAGCCAAATGCTCACGGGTCCTTGCCAGTTTCCTGGAGAAGGGGCTTGTTAACAGCTAAGTGGGGAGTGATCTGAAAGAGCAAGGCAGCAATTAGGGCTTTAGCTGCAAGGACTCCTCTCATTAGGGGACAGGTGGGATCTACGCCCTCGTCCCTACCCAGCGGTTATTACCTGCCTGACAGGTGTGACCTAGAAGGAGCTCCCTCCTCCCACTCTCCTGTAGATTAGGGTTTAAGAAACACACCCTTTGCCTCTTCCTGGGGACATGGCCCTGACCCAGGAAGCAGCCTGAGCTGAAAGGGACAGGCCCGTTCCAAGGAGGGGATAGGCCAGGTCTGAGCCGACTTCATTCTTTACTGCTGGGCCAGAGGTGGATGCTTGTGAGAAAGGACAGCAGAGAAGAAGGCCACTAGACATAGGCACTATTTTGGCTATTTGGGGTCCAGAGCAGTATTCTCCAATGTTTGGGCATATTCGTTATACCTTTGATATATTTTGCTTAATCCCTTTAATACTCGTGCTATTGTTAGTTTAATCTTCGTTTCTTACTTTTTAGAAATTTGCTACAAGATGCATATACTTGCCAGAGAGAAAGAGGGGGAATGGCCATGTCCCTATCCCTTCTCCTCCTTTCTCTCTTGGGATTATGGGCATACACCCACACGTGGCAGGTCTGCGACTGGAATTGCAAAGATGGCCGTGTGGGATCCAGCCACCTTACCTGGCATCCCACCTGGCTGGCTCTAATCTTTTTTTAACTGACTATATTTTTGCACACATACCATCCTTATCCTTAACTTAGGCATATGGAATTATTAGCAAAGTTTATGGTTTCTTTCTCGCATGCATTTATCTTTGTAAATGCCCGTCTATGGACTTAAACATGCATCTCTGTGTGATTTTAAAATCATCTCGTGTAATAACAACTAAGATACATGGAAGTTGATAGGCTAGGAACTGTTCTAAGCTTGACATGGTTGTGCTTATTTAATCCTCATGGAGAGATGGAGGGGTTGAGAAGAGCCCAGAAGTCCTGACTTCTCTCACTGTGTGGATGGGGGCTGCTGTTACTGTGACAACTGTACATTCGTAGTTTTGCTTTCTGCAGTTTCAGTTACCTGAGGTCAACTGCGATCTGAAAATGTTAAACAAAACATTCTCAAAATCAACAATTCATGTTTTAAATGCTAAGTTGCATGGCCACCTCACTTCTCATCACAGAGGCATTTTACCATCTCACAGCCCAGGAAGGGTGTGCAAACCATAAGATAGTTTGAGAGAGACAGAGAGAGGGAGAGACCACATAACTTTCGTGGTAGTATATTGTTATAATTGTTCTATTTTATTATTAGTTATTGTTAATCTCTTATGGTACCTTGGGGCCGCTAGGTAGCAGGATGGTTAAAGGCACTGGATTCCCTCATGACTGACCACAGTTTGAGTCCCGGACCTGGTAACTTGTTTTCTCCCTTTCCCTTTCTCTCTCTCTGTCTTTCTTTGGTCAACTTAAAAAATAATAATAACAAATGGAATTAAACAAGTCATTCTTTAAAAACATCTCTTGGATAGGTAGGTGATAGGTGTAAGACAGACACAGTCCAAACCGGGTCTGGTATGCTCCGTGGTTTCAGATATTCATTGGGAGGTATTCCCTGTGGATAGGGGAACCTCTGTGTTTTAAAGTGCTTAAAACCGTGCCTGATGGAGAGAAGATACATGCAAGCATTTTCTGTCATCATCATCATCTCCGTTTTATAGGTGGCAAAATGGAAGAGGCATAAAGACGTGGATTCCCTTATAGACCCAAGATGGTGGGATCAAATCCACACCTGGAGTCCCAAGCCCTGACTCTAACCCGTGCTCTGACTGCTCAGCTTCCACACTCCAGGAAACACTACTTAGAGACAGGATCTCACTCCGTCTTGAAGGGGTGCTGGTTGTTTTTCACCTGGGAGCACAGGGTGAGGTAAGGGGAGGACAAGACAGTGACCCCAGCTTCCCTGGCCAGTGAAGGAGGGGCGCAGTATTTGGAGAGGATCAGAGCATGGAGGAGCCAGGTACCTACTCAGAGCTGCAGGGACCCACCTACTAAGCTGCCCTAGTGAGCCTGGGGAGGGGCCTGCTGGGAGTTCTCTGCATCTTTGTCCATCAAAGTCTCTTGAGGAGGAAGAGCCTCTTTCTCTGTTCCTGCATGCAGAGCCATGGCCCAACTTTGAGCAGAAGCCCTGACAATAAGCTATTTTTGCATTCTACATGCCTGGTTCCGAAGTGGGTTAATGAACCTCTTGATCTAATCTGTTCCATCAGTGTGCAATGCCTAACAATCCAAAGGAGGTTGAAAATGAATTTTTTAGTATTTCTGAGAATAATCGGTTTGGGGCCACCCCCAGAAGCCCTCACTTAGATCCCAGCATGATGATTTGGTATATAAAACTATTGCATCACTTCCTCAGAGCAGACCCCTAAGGGATCTCAGCATGACAGCTGAGCCCAGCTCAGATTGCTACAGGAAGTTGAAAGTGCCTCCCTGCCTGCCGCACAGTTAGGCTGTGGGCCTTCCATTTAGTTGAGATTTGTAGACAACCCTAGACAGACAGCCTATGCTGTATGCATTTGCAAAACATGTTCAGAAAACGCTTTCGTCATCAGAAGCCTCCGTCTTCTCTCCCCTGCCTTTTGGAGAGCTTATTAGTTGCAAAACTTCATGTCGAATGTGTCTTTCATACAGACCCACTTCAACCCCATTGGCTGGCTCTTCCCATTGGCTGCTTCCATGCAAGGCTGTGCTGGTCCAGTTTCCCAGTATCTTTGCTCCTCTTTGTCATACCACCTTCTTCCCAGAAACTTCCTGAGGAGTGCTGCTCCTTGACTGGCTGTGCACCCCGTCTTCTGCAAGCGCTGAGAAGAGTAGCCTATGCGATGGTGGGAACTTTATATAAGCTATGCTCCTTTTTTTTTGGTTTGTTTTTGTCAGAGGGTGCATGTGCAGGGTTTGCATGGCCATCCCCCAGGTTCAACCCCACCTGCACTGCATTGTAGGGAGGAACTTCGGTCGTTACATGACACGCTTACTTCTACCTGGGCCAAGTGGCCATTCTTCTGTCCAAGTCTGGTTCAAAGCATGGGCCGTGCCACACGCCCAGTGATCCATCCAAAAACAAGGACTGCAGCCTAAATTCCGAATACTAAAGACTGAAATCTTCAGCTTCACCAAGGGAACACCTCAATCTTTGCCAATGTATTGTGTTTTGCACAGGACATTCTCTGTACTAGTTGTGGTGGTTATAGAACAATTAGCACAACCACTTACATTTGTATTTATTTTCTATTCCGTACTTCTCTTCCCATGTTTTTCTTTTTCTCTCCAAACCCTTCCTTTAAAAAAATAAATCTGTTGGAGATAGGAGAAAAACAAATAAACAAAAAACTTGGGTAGTTACATGACACATGAAACCAGACACTTCATCTACTTCTACCTGGGCCAAGTGGTAGCCCTTTCTCTCTGGCAAGGGCTTGCACCCTATAGCAAAAACTTGAAAACAAAACAAAACAGGCTGCAGATATGAGTTTTGGGGGGGCATTCAAACCATAACACTGGTATAGCCCCAGTGCTGAGAACGGAGCCGAACTCATGTAATGTGATCACAGAGGGAAGGCACCGTGAGCTAAGTGACCCGTGTTGTAGCTAAGAATATCCCTGTATCCCTGAGCTTGGGTGTGGTGCCATCCAAGTAAGCTCATCTTTTCCAGGAGACTCTTCAGAGTCTGGAGGTGACGTGGCAGTGAACCCCACGAAGCCTGGCTTGGCGTCCTGGCTCCACCATATGTTGTGGCACTCGGTATTCTAAGCTCTGTCAAACCAGCATCTCTCCTGGAGGAAGACCAGACTTTGGGTCCTGCCATTTCAAGAAGCTGGCCCCGAGAGAGAGAGAAGAGATGCCCATTGTGCTTTATTCTGTTCTATACCCAACTCGCGCTGTCCCTGCTCCCGGCCTTACTAAGGCACCTCCCACCAGGCACCTCTCCTCAGTGTCCGGCAGATGGCGGAGGGAGGCTAGCCTACCGTCAAGGCCCAGTGGATGCTGTTCCTGGGGAGGGTGCTGACCCCCTTTGTTACTGGTCATGGAGCAGAAATTGGGGTGCCATGGGGGCCAGCAGGTGGTATGGTAGTTAAGGGTGCTGGACTGCCACATGGCTGACTCCGGTTCAAGTCCTGGACCTGGCAGCTTGTTTTCTCACTTTCTCTCTCTCATTCTGTCCCTCTCTGGTCAAATTAAATATAAATAAATAAATAAAATTAAATACTTCTTTTTTTTAAAAAAAAAGAAGAGACTGGGGTGCTGTGAGGCCATGCAACCTTAACTTTCTTTTTTTATTCAGACACCAAGGACAAGGGCCTCCCTGTTCTTCAATAGAATCCAGTAGATCAAGGCAGAGTGATTTCCACACTGAGCTGTGATGCA